TCTGATCTAATCTAGGTCTACCTCTACCCTTCTTAAATCCTGTTTCTGTTTCTAATATGATTCTAACTAGCCCTTAATTTATTATTGACTTTCATAGCCGCCCTCTTCTATTCTATTAAAGTACCTACCTACTTACTTAAGAATATACATAAATTGAATGAAAATCTACAAAAAAGTTCCCTGTTAATTAAAGGTCTAATTAAAAAGAAACGTTTATTACTTTTTGCTTTATTTAATGGGTCAACCAAAAACCAAGGGCAGGGTATTTAAAAATTTCGACTTATTGACAAATCTACGAATCTACCTTGCAGTACATATATGTATATAATGTAAAAAATAAGTTTAACTTATATGCATGACGCTCTGTCGTCTACTGTCTTAGTCTTTTCAATTTGCTTTAATTTCACTTATAAACGGATTGCATAATAACAACTGTACCTAAGGTCAATATCTTGGGTAGCTTACGTAACTTTTAATCATGAGCCAAACAGTGCATAACTAAATAAAGTAAAACAATGAACCCACAGAACAGTGAAGGTCCTCGTTTAATATTAGAGGAAAAGACGTAAAAGGAAATCAATACGAACCTGGTAATAATACAATACCATATTCAGTTTTATCTTCATTAAATAATAATTACTATTGAACAATCCCAGGACTATGACATGTAGCACAAACCATAATAGTATTATCACACTCTTTAATATCACTGTTTTATTTAATATCACACTTTGTTTTATAATACAAAACCGCGGCGCAACCCGACGCTTCAACTTAACCTGTTTTTTCACCTCTGATAGTAAGTACCACCTGCTAGATTCGATTCGCGACGCAAGAAGAAGCACAAAGATGGAAAAGTGTAGTTATAACCGTGAACAACAACAACAACTCACATTGAATATAATTGCACGTTGTCAGACCTACTGTTTAAACAAAGCATTTTCACCGCAAGTGTTAATTCCCACCACTCATTTGTGCACGTACAACAAGCGGTGATGGTAAATTCTTATTGCTATTAGGCTTGTTGTTTGTACAATTATATGTATTATTTATAAGTACCTATCCAGTATAGTTGGTACGTTCAAAATTGGCATAGTCCGCAATAAAACTGTCGCTTTTAGTTTCTCCTTTCAACTTGCCAACTAGACAAGAACGGTTGCTGACAGACGCCTACCTTTACTAAGACGTTGTAGGGAATATATCGTCATAAAAGAAAAAGGATGCCAGGTAGGAATTGCAGCGAGCACTAATAAATAAAAAAGAATAACATTACACCATTTAACGTGTAATAGAAAGAGATGCAGGAAAGCAGAATTTGAGCATCTTGCCAGCCAGATGTTCAACATTCTCAGAAAATTTGAGAGTTTAGTTAGTTTAGGTCAGATTTCTGAGAAGCAAGTTGTATGTTCGGCGAACGCTTTGCCTCCAGTATCTGTATACAACAGTGACTTAGAAGAAACAATGGAAAAAGCGAAGGAAAGTGTGGAACAGTTATCAGAAAAAGAAAAGCTGTAAAGCAACAGGTTTCAATGATTTGCAGAGAAATGGCAAGACTACTGGAAAAATATTTGGAAAAGAAATGTTTAAATTGAACAGCGAAGAAGCAAAAGCGATGAAATTTGAAGACACCAGGAGAAGAGAAAGGAAATTAATAGAGGACACAGAATTGAAGGAAAAGTAAACAGAAACAAATGTAATTATCTGAAATATAAGTTGAGAGAAAGTTACAAAAGTAACATTCATATAAACAATCGAGCACACCAAAGGTATCAAATGCGATATTAGGAAGAACATGGGGGATAGGGCAAAGACTACACAGAAATGGTCGGGAAAGAAGAATGATTTTAGTTACCACAGTGGTAAAGGGTATTTCATTTTATTGGGTGGAAATTTGGCAGAAGAAAAGTATTCTAAGAATATGAAAGGAAACGAAAGTGGTGAGAGGCAAGAAGGAGACTTATTGGCATGAGAAATAGATACGATGAGGAAACGGAAAAAAATCGTTAGAGAAAATGATGGAATGAAAAACTAAAGGACAAATGGAGGAATGGAAAAATAGATGAATGAATGGTGAAGAAAAGTGTGTATTAAGGTCACAAGAGGGGAAGTTTTGAGGAGAATAGAAAGGTCGAAGTAATATATATGTAGGGGATGAAATAATAATGGTAAAATTGACAAGGGGATGAAATAGCGGAGTATTTGAGAAGAAATAAAGATAAGTCAACAATAACAAGATTCAGAATGGAAAATGATTGTAATGAGAATCAACACTGGTTGAAAGACAAAGAAAGAAAATGTAGGATATGAGGAAGGAGAATGAAAATTTGAGTCGCATGAGTTGAAATAAGATGTAAAGAATAAAACAATGAACGCTATTAAAATTTAAATGATGTTGATTTTATTAAACCCTACTAAACAAATCAAAGAAATGCTTTAATGTATAATGTTGAATAAACAGGTTTCGTGTTAAGTAATTAGAATATAAACAGAGTATAAAATCTAGATCGTAACTAATTATTCAACTTTTTTACTAAATCAGTGCATGTCCAAAAAATATTTTCCCCATAATTAATCCCAATTAATCCGCAGTTTTTACTGCGTGTATACGAACAATTATTTGAGGTGACTTATTGTTCACGGTAAACAAACGCAAAACTTTTCACCCTACTTGCATATCTATTAGTAGCTATTAATTCAAAAAGGAGGCGCTATTATAAGCAAAAGCGTTACTTACCCGGTAAGTTTTTATAACTTCATGCACCAGAAACAAAATAAATACAAATATTTTATTGTAATTAGAGAGAAATATCATCGAAAAATGTGTCAAAAAAGTCTATACGAACGGTAAATTCTCATATAGAAAGGAATTCTACAAATTCTCACTGGATTTAAAACAGAGTTGCCAAATTAACTTTTTTATTCCGTAGTTTTTCCTTTCTGAAAGGATTGGGGACCATCCATGTATAACAATAATCTTTATTTTAACTATGTAATTATAAATATTTTTCGAAAAAGAAAAGTAATTTGGTGCAAAAATAGGAAGACTTTTTTTAGTTACTTGAGTACCTACAACTACTTATAAAAATTTCCAAAGTTCAAGTATTTTTTAAAGTACCTAAAGGGATAACGGCAAATTTGCTTTTTACTTACAACTAGTTACAATTTTTAAATTTACTTCTTGTTGCTTAAAATTGTCTGACACATAATAATAAAATTTTATAAATGTTGTATCAAATTAAAAAAAATTATAGTTGGCTTTAAATTCTCTATGTCTACAGAAATTACCCTAGATCAAGCAACACTAATTTTAACAAGAACTGGTGTTCGTATGATGACCCGATGGAGGCCGGTCACGAATGTCGCTCTGTCGTTGTTAGAATGTTTAATAATACAATGAGACCCTTCTTTATCATCTTAATCGACAAAAACGGCTCAGCTTCGAGGACAACATGAAGACCACATTTTATAACATCTGCGTCCTGGATTGATCGTAATAATAATGTGTTATGCCTTTTCGTTTTCATATTAAATAACGCCCTTATGCTTACAAAGCTCCTTATATTTTTTTTCAATAAGGATACCACATACAGAAGATGAAAAGGCAGATTTTAGGTATTTAGGAAGTCAGATAAGTCAAGACGGAAGGAGCAGTAGAGATATAAAGCAGAGGATAGTGCAGGGTCGAGTCGCCTTCAATAAAAAGAAGTCACTTCTGTGCTCGTGAACGGTTAATTTATAAATTCAAAAAAGATTGTTGCGAAACATGGACAGTGGGCGCTACGGAAAAGGTTTTAAGCGTTCGAAATGTGGTGTTACAGGCGAATGATGAAGTTACCGTGGATAGAGAAGGTTAGAAATGAAGAGATATTAGAAAGAATTGGAGAACAGAGGACTCTATAGAAGTCAATAATAAATAGGCGAGATAGATACGTTAGTAAGACATCTTTTCAGACATGAAGATCTAGTTAGATATATTAGAGGCAGAAACGGAAGTTAGGAGGGGTAGGTAGATCTAGATTAGATTAATGTTCGCAAATAGTTAAGGATGTGGACTGTTCTAGTTTTAGGAAAATGCGAAGATTAGCTCAGGATGGGAGAGAGTGGTGATGCGTGTCCAACCAGTCTTAGGACTGACAACCTTATGATGATGATGAAAGCCCTACTGTCTTTCTAATCACAAATGAAGAGGTATTGGGATTTATGAAAGTCAATATGGGAAATAACACGTGCTGAGACATGAAGGGCTTGCTAGAGATATATCTGCCTACTGGATGCATGAACAGGAGTAAAGAGTGTTAGAAAAAGACTAAAATAGATTACTAACAAGTAGTCAGGGATATTGAATGTTTCAGTTTTCGGTTAATCCAAAGACTGGCTCAGGGTAAGAAGGAGTGGAGGCGTGATCATGATTATGACTAATGTTTTTTACCTATCAGTTTGTAAATTCTTACATAAAGCATCAAAATATACCTAAAATCTCCAAAATGTTGATTTCAGTTAAAAAAAATCAAAAAATTATAATTTTGCAAACCCCCGTTCAACAATATTCCATAAGATCAAATAGAATAAAAAAGAAAATTTTGCTTCCCGCCTTGCATATGACACCCCGTCAGGGTGAAGGTTTTTTAATACGACCCTTTGTCTCGAAGCGAAGGAGTTACATATTATGTGTGAATTTCAAGTCAATATCTCACTTCATTGAGAATTTACAAGCTTCTAGTACTCTGACGAATAACTTCGGACCCTTCGGATACGGAACAGGATTTAAAAATATATCGATCTTCTTTTGCCTTATCGTGAAAATTAGTTTTCGTTGACAAGAAGATATTTTGAAAAATATGTTCTAGTACGGTATCCTACCAGGAATTACACTAGAAAACGTAAACCACCATTGTGAGAATATGGCATAAATAGTTATTGATTGTATCTAATCTAAGTCTAACATAAATTATTGCTTTTTTGTAACAGTGAAATAAACGTAGTAGCGATAGATCACTTACCGTCACCGGAGCGGTGTGCGAAACTTCCGGAGTTAGTTGACGTCTGTGGATTCCCGGAGACGACCTAACACTTTCAGTTCCTTTTCGTGGACCATCTGTTAAAGTGGTTTCACTGCAACAAAAAAAGAAAGAATCTCAACGTTACGAAGTTTGCTACTGATTTTTTATGAGTTAGTTTCGTCAACGATCAGTTACAATTTATTTTCAAATAAGAGACATCTTTATTATTGATGAGCAAAGCACGACCAAGACTAAGACTATTCCAGTATTGGTATTGGTGTTGGTCTTGGTGTTGCTGATATAGTCTTGGTCTTCATTCTAAAGACAAATTTTTCTATTTACTGACACAAGAATTGCCGTAAATGCTGAATTTCTTTGTCATACATGCGAGCATGTCCTGACTTTTAAAGAAAATAGTGTTGATAGTTGTCAGAGTTGAAAATTCGAGAACATAACCTTCCTCCAATGCATCAATTGACCTTTTAGTGAACAAAATGGTACAAGGTATTTGAAGAAGTAAGAAATCTCGAAATAAAAATCAGTTTATCTCTGCATTTTAACCAAGTGTTATCCAGACATAGGACAAAGAATCCTAACTCCGAGGACATTCTTGTAGATCCCTTTTTCCAAACAGTGGTAGTTTCATATTTTCATTTAATCTTAAAATCTAGTAAAGCGAACTGAAAATTTCGAATACCAAAAATGTTTTGTTCCAAGAAAAGAATATATTAAAGTTACTTCAAATAGTTTAACTCATAAATCCACGAGGAGTAATAATTTTTCGTTTAGTCTGGCGTATTTGGTCTTGGTTTTAGTCTTGGTCTAGTTTGTTCAGTCTTGGTCTTCTTCGTACTGTCTTGGTTTTAATCCCTGTCTTGTTCGTTCGGTCTTAATTTTATGATTTTAGTCTTGGTGTTGCTTGTTCTGTCTTGGTTTTGCTATTACATAGACGAAAATGCAAAGATTTTGCTCACCACTAATATTCATTTATTCTTTAGAGCTCTGCAACCCTAGGACTTAAAATATGCCCTAAGGGTTAAAGTCTACGCAGAAGGTAAATATATTGTTTGGATCGACATTACAAAAAAAAAAAGATTTAGGAAATTAAATTGCTTCTTTTCTGAACAAGGCTTTTTTGAGATGGATTTCAAAATTGCATAAACAACAAGCCTATATTTATACTTACTCGTTTGTATTACCATAATAATTCTGGTCGTTTTGGAAGATTTTCTTTAAATATTGTTTGTCTTTTAATCAAAATTTTACAAATTGACTGATAGAAATATTACGTATCTCTTGATTGAGATTTTATTTCTTCACAGAATTTCATATGCGTTATATCGTATGGCACAGCTGACTATGCACCACTTTTCTTTTATTACAAACACTGTCAGCATGCAACAGAGGGTACATTGCACCCCTTTTCGTTTAGTCAGTAGATTTGGAAATTTGCATGCGCTGCATAGCTGCTAATCGATCGGAGGAAATGTCATGCAAAGATCAGGACCGTACTTAAATGCCTACAGAAATTCTACAGTGTTATTAAACATAATTGTATTGATTCTATGTTTCTGCTGTTATAGAATTTTGTTCGTGAGAGCTTTAGATTTTATATGGATTTCACTACTATCTACAATATCTGTTCTCACTTCACTGACTACTTACCAAAAGAACAAATGGAGGAATGGAAAAATAAATGACTGAATGGTGAAGAAAAGTGTACGCATTTAGGTCACAAGAGATGAAGTTTTGAGAAGAATAGAAAGATCGAAATAATATATAGAGGGGGTGAAATAATGGTTCTGAAAAGATTGACAAGGGTGTCAAATAATGGAGTATTTTAGAAGAAAAAAGATACGGCAACAACAACAAGATTCAGAATGGAAAATGATTGCAATGAGAATCAATCATGGTTGAAAGACAAAGAGAAATTAATGTGTATGTGTTTATACTTTGTAAACTTGCGGACGGATTCTGAATTACGAACAAATTGTATCAAAATCTACGAACTTTTAAGTGACTATGAGGAGGTGTCGACGGGAGTTATGAAAGGAGTTGACTTTTCACAAAACAGATGAGGAACATTAAGGAAATCATATTTTCATAACGATTTACAGATTGTTTTAGGGAACTAGCAAGGAATACTGTACAAATGTGATAATATGGAACATACCAGACAGTTTTCAAATTCTACAAACTACATGCTCAGTTATCACAATTTTCAATTACGGTCCTGTATTGAAAATATGCGCTCCGCAGTCTGTCATTCCATTTATTACCATTTCCAGCAGAAATTGGGAAATGAGGAAACTAGCGTAACGCTGCGCTCATACGACACAAGTGTTCGGTTTTGTTCGCTTTTCATATAAGTGACGACTGCATATGCAGATGTAAGTGAGCCATTTTCTGAAAGCGGAGCTTCGAGCAGAGGATTCCAATTCATGTGGACGGCATAACATAAAACACCTTAATATTTTATTTTTTGATACGCCAAGAGGGGGAAAATGTTAACAAGAACAGCAACTAAACCTTTTACGATAACCTTCCTTTGTTTAACAACTTTGTGGTGTATCGTGAAATAGCAAAATTAAAAATAACATTGACGCAGCGAATGTTTACTTTTTGTTTGCCACCATAATTAAGTGTAAAAACAATTTATGTTTAGTAGATACAGGGTAGGTGTATATTACATTACTATCAAACCATTACTGTGACAGTATCAGGTAATTGTATGTTTGTTGCATAGAAAGGGAGAAGTGTTACCAAGCTTCGGTCTTCTAACATTAACTTCCTTAAGTTGATTGTATTTGCTAAAATCATTTTTATTGCTTCCAACTATAGTTCCCAAAATTTCTTGTAAGAACTGACGGAAATTTCACATAATCTACTTTATATTAGGGGATGGATTGATAAATTGTTCAATTTTTACAAGCTACAGGGTCATCAGGAACTGTCATTAAATTTTAAAAGTTGTGATTCACTTGGAATATACAGGGTTTATCTATAAAGTAATGAGACTGACCACCGTAAGCCGCTCCGGTCGCTTACACTCTGCGAAGGCAGGATTTTTCGTGAGATGTATAACATAATTGACTCACCGGACGGTAGTAGCATCCGAGATTTGAAACAATGTGAATCACGCATGACGCAAAAATTTTTGGTCATGCTAGAAAATGCCAAAAATGGAGGGTTCATTGAAACAGTATATTTTACTTTTATCTAGAAAAAAACGCGTCTGAGACGTTTACCATGATTAAGGAAACTCACAAGGGCTTAGGTTTTTGGTGATTCACAGTATTCACAAATGGGCGGGAGACCGTTGAAGACATGATACGAACTGGACACCATTCAACAAGTGATCTGGATGACAATGTGGTCAAAGTAAAAAATCTGCTGTACCTTCCTTTATAAAGCCGATAAACGAAAACGGCCGGAGATTGCAAACTTCTAAACGTCAACCACCACAACTCCTCAGTCATCGTTGTGACCACCTACATGATCTTGATACGAGTCACAACCTTACCGCAACTACTGTATAGTCCCGATGTCAGCCCAGAGGACTATTTCCTATTCCCAAAACTCAAGAGAGGCCTGAAAATATCAAAAAGATACTACAGAGTTTCTAAAAGAGGTTGCAGCAACTAACATTCTGGAAGGGTTTGTAAAGTAGGAATTGTATTGGCAGCCGTCAATCCACGCTTAATAAGGACACTATTTTGAAGAATTTTAACAATTTGTATCAATCTGATCAATTAATTCTTCTTGGCAGACTCAGATCCATTACTTTATGGACAAACACTCTCCCTCAAGAATATTAAAAGTAACAGATATGAATAAAGAAATCCAGGGAGATATAAACGAAAATCACAAACTGCAGTGGAAGACCTTCGATTGCAACCAGATGTCTTGATTTGCTATAGGTAAACGGTTTCAAATTTTTACTGTTTATTCAGAATTTTAGTTACTCATTCCTAAAGTACGTTCATCGGTTTGTTTTGTTTGTATGAGAATATCATCATTACATTTAGAAGAAAAACTGCCTTATACCGAACATACTTAACAAAAGAAGGTCATAGACAGTACACCCATGAATTACTTTCGGTGCTACCCTCATAAATTATCCATTTCTAATATCACTAAGTTTTCAAACGATCCCTGTTGCACCGTCTAGACAGCCACGTTTTATGATTCAATGTGCAGCACTTATTCTCGCCATGTTCAGGCGGTCTACTGGTAAATTGAGTCCATGCGAACGGGTAATAGGAGGGTGTAGCAACCCTTGTTTAAGTTGGCAAACAGGAAAGCTGAAAGTAAAATTTACAATCGATGGGCGAATTCGAGTGCAAACCACTTCACAAATAACACTTTACGCTCGACACATGGACATGTATATTCGACTAAAACCCTTGGTACTCAATAACGTTAATGAAATTTGGCGGTCGTCCTATATATGTATGGTACGGGTTGTAACTGGCAGCTTGCAGCCAATATACTTGTCAAAATCAAATTAGATTAAAATAATTCGAAGTGGTCTGCATTCTGTCGAAACTGTCAGACGCGGATCGCGATTTCGATCTTTTTGGATCTCATCAGCGCGTCGCAGGCAGCTTCGACAGAACACAGACCAACATTTACCTGCTGTCTTAACAGTGCGTTTTAGAAAATACCACAAATGGCGCGGTGAACGCCATCTGTAGTCCCATGCTACATTTTAGGATTACGTATGCTACAACAAGGTCCACTTGTGTGGATATCTACTTGCTGAAAACGAATCCCGACGTAGCCAACCCCAACGTGATAGGCACGTTAGCTTAATCGAATAAAATAATTCGAAGTGGTCTGTATTCAAATTAGATTATAAATTCAAGTGAATTTGATCATCTTATACGAATTTCAGTGGACTACAGAAACACATTTCATTTTTTTTTGGAACTAAGTTCCTTGTTAATCCTAATATTGGGAGGTCGAAAGTTCAAATTCTCATTTGACGTTTTGGCAGACACTGAATTATGATTAGGATTCGAATGTTGTCGAATTAAATGAATCGCAAGTGATTTACTCAATTTCCATGTGGTTCTACCTGCACAAAAGATGCTGGTAACTCTGTACTCC